GGGACAGAATCATGTGTTCATTCATTGAATAAACATAATACCACCATACAGATAATGCAAAGAAGAAAATGCCTCTAAATGTTTCACTAAAATCTGGTTCTTTTATCTCACAGATTAAATTAGTTTATTTGAATTGAGCTTCCATAATGTCCAACTAAATGCAACAAGCTTAGTTCAAAGGATTAGGCAGAACTGCCATGACATGTCTTATGTACACACTACATATGACGATGCAGAAAGGATTGAATATAAAAAACTAAGGCTCTGTTTGGCAAAGGAGTGGTCTACAATCAATTTTAGAAAATCTAAAAGCAGAAACATATATGTTTTGTCCGTCTCCAAAGTCTCTTTGACTGAAAAGAACTTATTAAGAGCTTGCTTCCAAAGCTATTTGTTCTAACAAAATTCCTTGCCTGCCTTTCAAAATCAAATGTTACCTTTTCAACCTAAAACAGTTCTCATTTAATAGGAAAAATACCAAACAACTTGTGTTCAACAACACTTATAACCAAAACACACTTGCTAGGAGATTGGAGTACTTTACTACTGTTGCTCAAAAGTTATTTTCTACAATTAGGAAACTTAGTGCTTGCTACTTAAAGCTAGAAAAGAAAAAAATGGCCACATGAACATTAGCTATTGGCAATGTATTGGCTTTTCTACATTCAAATGATGGCTAGTTAAGGGTTTCCTCCAAGGTGCTTTGCATTAACACCAATAAGGTGTCCCATAGAATGGAAGGTACCTTCTACACGACTACACAGTGATGGTTCAACCAGCATTGTTGTATGTGACAGAATGCTAGCTAGTTAAGTATGCTCATGTTCAAAAGATAAAAGTCATGGAGATGAGAATGCTAAGATGGATGTGCAGCTACTAAGAGGGACATGATTAGAAACAACACGAGACAATATTAGAGCGGCCTATGTTGTTGACAAAATGAGGAAAACAAGATTGTTATGGTTTGGGCATGTGAAAGGGAGGGTGAGGATGCATCAAATTGGAGGTGTGAGAGTTTTAGAATCATACTAGGAGAGGTAGAGGTAGACCTTAGAAGCACTCGAAGGAGGTTAATAGACAAGAGGGCATTATGTTCAATAGAAAGATTTGGTGGTTGAGGATGATGGTAGAAGTGTAGTAAGTGGCTGCTTCTTTTTCACTATTGTTTGTGAGCCTGCGAGGTAGTACCCTACCATCTCCTTTCCCCCTTAGTAGTATGTTTTAGGGTAATGTAGACTGCTTTTCTTATGAATACTATTATGTGTTACTCCTTTTGTAATCAGTCTCGTTATAATGTTAAAAGATTTTTTCTTTTATCATATTTCCTTGATTATTTTCATTTTGAGCTGAGGGTCTTTGGGAAACAAAAGGAGACAAGGTCTGTACATATCCTACACTTCACTTGTGGAACTATGCTGGATTTATTGGTGTACATTCATTCAAATAAAGCTTTAACTCCAATTAAGAAATGCAAACAACTGGAGAGTCGAAAGAGTACTGGTATATCTCCATGACTCCATAACTATCTCAGGATCTCATAAGAAAGGAAATAATGAGTATCTAACAAAGTACCAGTTGATGCAATATCTATTAACATTAGATAATGAAGTTCTGATCGAGCTGCGTTAAGTACGGAGTTTTACTTTTATATACTCTCACATATCTACTATCTACCTAAAATAGACTATATGATGACTCAAGGGAATGTATTCATCAATGATGTAGCCATGCACCAAATCACATACAAGAGTACTCAACTTGAACCCTAATGTGCAATCAAATGCAAAAATTGAAATCTTCACACAAAATTTTATTGAGCTCCCAGCAGAAGCATACTTCGAATCAAACAAAGCACATATATCTATTTGCAGCAAAGAAGCTCTCGATTGATCGAGTCGAATACCTCTTCATATTTCTGGGTGAGAGTTAGGCGCTCATCTTCAGTCACGTCGGGCCTAAGAATTATCATCGTTTCATACTGCCTCAGCCCTGGAGGACACTGGGGCTCCTCTCTATCTTCTGTAAGCGAAATGCTCCATGGCGGAATAGACGGCGGCTCTTCACTGTCTATGAACTCGGCTTGGAACAATGGTTCGTAGAACTCAAAAGTCTGCGCATTGGCGAGCATCTCGGAATGTTTGCTCCTCTCCGCGTAGTGCAGCAGAGGCCTTGAGGCACCCGTGAAGATCTTGAAGGCGATTCGTGAAGGAGAAGAAGGGTGAAGCAATGGTGGCTTGGATAAGAGGGAAGATGCCGACGACAGAGTAGGGATTGCAGATGAAGAAGCAGCCATTGTTGTCCAAGTGCTCGCCCCGCGCAGCTAATGAAAGTTGTGGATAAGTGAACTTCAACCTTGTTATTTGTTAGAGCAACTTTTCCACTTTTTTAACAATAAAATGATAGAGTACCACCTATTTTGGCACCCTTACACTTTCTTTATACCAAACTAGTATTATTGCCGTCCGTTCCACGTCTAATATTTTTAATATGAAATTATTTAATCACTTCATTATTTAAAAAGTAAAATTAACAACAAATAGCTTATTAAATCAAAATATAAAATTTAAAGAAATTTGACTTTTGATTTTTTTGTGAACTATATTGTTATCGCTATAAAAAAATGCCACATTAGCAGTACAGTTAATAGGTACATAATGAAATTTATGTAGTATTTAGTAAGTAATGAAGTAAAAATATGCATCAATCACTTGCCCAAATACAAATATATAGTAATTAAAAAAAATATAAACTTAAAACTAAGAACTTTGCGTTAAATTGATATTATTATAAATCAATCAGGTTCCAAATTACCAATTTGAACGATTACATTGGTTTAGAAATTACAAACAAATACATTAAATATGAAATGCAATATATCAATTTTATTGATTGCATTTGAAAATTGCAATCATTTAAAATTTGGATCATTTTTATGATTTACAAATAATTTTTAAAGTTACACATTATATTATTTCTATCTAAATAACTGTGACAATCCTACATATGAAATGAATTTTAAAACTTTAGTACTAAAATTATTTTTAAACTTGGGTAGAAACTAAAAATTAATAGATGATAGAAATCCACAGATGGGGCAAATATTTATACATGCAAGAAGGGATTTGAAAAGAAAATAGACGTGCAAAAATATCCATTATAAATAATGACATTATGTATGGTAATTAATAATAAATGTACAATAATATTTACGTTCTAAGAGCTTTTGGTTACCTTTTATGTTTTAAACTAACTATTATAATTCTTCATTTAACATTTATTTATTTACTATTTTATTTGAGTAATGCTAGAGTCACAAAGAAACCGTTCATAAAAATCACAAACCTGCCTTTTAAAGTTTTTAGTAGAAATAAGGTACACTTAAATAATAAAATATATTTTAATTTAACATCTACAAAAAACAAATTTGTGAAGTTTGTGAGTTATTTGTTTGTGACTCTAATATTTTTTATTTTTATTTAGAACACTCCATTTATTTAGAACATTTATTTACTTACCATTACTGTAATCATCCATGTACCATGTTGTATCAAAACTTACCATTTTATTTAGAACTCTCCATTTATTTAGACTATTTATCTACTTACCATTACTGTATCCATCCCCGTTTTATTTAGAACACTCCATTTAATTAGAATATTTATTTATTTACCATTATCGTATTCCTCCAAGTACCGTGCTGCAAAATTAACATTTAATTTCGGACTATTATTATTATTATTGTTGTTGTTGTTGTTGTTGTTATTATTATTATTATTAATGGTACCATTTAATAAGGCCACCTATTATATGGTTATTAACGATCCTGACATTTTTAGTCATTAGTTACGTTACCATTTACGTAGTACGTTTTACACGGTCACAATTTTACATGTTTCCATTTATTTTTATTTATTCTTACATTTATATATAGTATATATTCATGAACATAATTTATGTTACAAATTATACTCATGATAAACTATAATGGGGACATAAATAATTACACGTGGTCAAAGTCTCTTTTAATTATATTTATTTATTTTTTAATTATATTTATTATTTTATTTATTATTTTATTTATTAATTTTAGAAATTGGACGATATAATTATGTCTCATTTTAATTAAATTTCACCATGTATAAAATAATAATACGCACAATCTACCATTTAATGATATTTATTTATTATTAATTTCATACTATTAATAATACTTCATGATGAATTAGTATGCCGCATTAATTCCAATACATGAGAGTTAATTGTGATACCTTAAATAGAATCTATTAAATTGGTAGTTTATGAAGATGAAGGACAACCGTAGATCTAATGAAATCAACAGTGCTGAATGAATATGCTTTGGGCGGGAAAAGCTTGTGGCGGAATTCCCCTGCTTTTAAGAATAGAATGATGATATGAGGGATGCTCTTTCAATTTATTTTTTTGTTATTGTAAAATTCAAATAGTTTATGAATTCAAATTTTTTTCTTGTTCTTTTGTTTGGGTCGTTCGTCTTTTCATCATTGTAACTGAACATTATTCAACAATGATCATCCGTGCTAGGAGCGTTAGAGCGGTTGTCAATGCAAAGAGTGCCAAATTGACAAATTTTATGCTCGGAGTAATAAATATTTTTAATAAATAATTAACAAAAGTAATTAAGAAAAACTTTGACATGTAAGAAGTAAGTATTTGAGACTTTTGTTTTTAGATGAAAGAGTTGTTTTACTCTTAAAAAATCAAAGAAAAAGAAACACAATAACGATCATAATACGGAGCAAAGAAACTTTCAAAAAAACTCGCAAATGTTATTTTTTTATGCGAATTTGAAAAAAGTTACAAATGCAAAAAAATACTCCATCCGTCCACATTTAAAGTTCCCATTTTGACTCGGCACGGAGTTTAATAAAAGTTGAAATTTGCAAAGACTTTCCAATTATGTCCCTCCCACTTTCCCTGCCCATCCTCACCCACTCCCTCCAGGCATTTTCAATCCTGCGTCAACCGTTCCTTTCATCTTCCGTATCTTCCATCGTGGCCACCTCTGTTTATATTTAGATCTTCATTGCCACTGCTCCCTGTCAAGCAACTCGATCAAATCTTCATCGCTATCAAATCTTCAAGATCTTGGAGAAGGTAAAATCTTCACCGCTCAAATCTCCCTTTGATCTTCGGATTGAAAGGAAACGAGTTGAAAATAGAAAGAAGATGAAGAAAATGAAGAATTTGATAATTTTACGCTAGTGATGGGCAAGAAGAAGGGCAAGAAGAAATGAAGAAAGAGAAGAAGAATTGAAGGAGATGAAGAAACGAAGAGCAAGAATATGGAGAAAAAGAACCGAAGAAGGAAAAGGGGTTTGGTAGAGAAGAAGATGAAGAAGAAATGAGAATAAAGAAATTAAGAAAAGATAAGGTGGGGATGTGTGGTGGTAAATCGGCAGGGGAGGAACAAATTTGAGAGAGAGATTAAAGGGTATTTTTGACATTTTACTTTTAAAAATTTGCCAAATAAGGAAATGGGAACATTTTTTGTGGACGGACCGAAAAGGAAAGTGGGAACTTTAAATGTGGACGGAGGGAGTAAAACAATTAAAAGAAGCTAGATGGGATTGGGGTGTAAATTGTTTTTAAATAAAAATTCATGAAACTTAAAGAATATATAAAGTAATATTTATTTCAACTCTTATTATTTTAATGCCAAAACATAATTAATCAGCCACCAAGATGTACATATTAACTCTTTAATTACATATATTACAAAAGGGGCCGGTTCAGGTGAGAATGCACCGTGGTTAAAGAAATAAGAATAAATTCTAACCTTTGGATCTGATGCATCGGGCGGCTCAGATTGCATCCTACACTCAGATTTTGAGATAGTGCATTTTCAAAGGATTTTTGTGCATTTCGACATGACGCATTTTCAAACCTTTTGGGTGCACCTAATTATGATGCAATCCTGACCCTTAGATCTAACAGTCTAAAGCACCAGATGCATTCTTATTTCTTTCATTAGATCGCATTATCACTAGAACCAAAATCTATTACAAAATGGGATGATTGGACAACATGAAAGTAAATATAAAAAAAATTATTCCTTTTTTAGGAGCAAAAGAGTTATAAGTTGCATTTCGGAATAATGTTGTAAAGTTGAGAAACTCTTGATTATTTTTGTAAATTTTCCTTTTTCCATATTCATCGCAAATAAAGGCTCTCAGTACGACTAGGTACTAAATTCAAGGTAAATAAAAATGATTGGTTAAAAGTGATGTAGAGAAGAAAGAAAAATTGTAAATCATTCAAGATTTTCAAAAAAAAAAAAAGATTTTTTTTGGATGTTCTAAAAAAAATAAGGAGTTTTTTTTAAAGATTGAGGGAGCATGTTTTTCAAAGAGATTAGAATGGACCGGGTGTAAAGGTTTTCCAAATTGTTTCGGCCCAATTCATGTGTGCCCTAATGTTGCCACGAAAGCCCATAAAATCTGATCAAACTAGGGATAGCACCGCCGTTCTTTAAAACGTTCTCTGAGCTTTCTCTTCGCGTCCCGAATCTCTGCATCGAGCTGCATCAACATGGGTAAGTCCTAACCTTAGGAATTCTCTCTGTTTCTCTATAGATCTAAGGAAAATGTATGAGTTAATGGCTCATATGCCTTTCTGATTCGTTGAATTTCAGGTGCGTACACATATGTTTCGGAGCTATGGAGGAAGAAGCAGTCCGATGTGATGAGGTTCATTCTGAGGATTAGGTGCTGGGAGTACCGCCAGCTTCCTTCGATTGTGCGCATCAGGAGGCCTACTCGTCCCGACAAGGCTCGCCGCCTTGGCTACAAGGCCAAGCAGGTATGTTCTATCAACATTCCTTCTTTTTTTCTATGTATTTTTGTTGTTTTTTTTCTGTAAGCTTGTGTTTGATTTGTTTCGTTGCGTGCATTTGATTCATGTTGGCGTATCATTTCATTATTTCTTGTGTGGCTCGTATTTTTTGAACAGACGCTTTCAAATTTGGATGTTCGCTTGTGTTCTTCTCCTTCTCTGCTGAAATAGTTAATCACTAATTTATATATCCTCTATCGCCGTTTTGTTACAATGGACTCCCGTCAAAATGGTACTTTTTGTGAAATGACATCAGATCTACTTAAGTTTTAAATCTCCCAATGAAAGAAAACAAATTTGAACTTGTTTGGAGAACAATATTGAAACTTTTTACTATAAAATGGCTTGCTGATATTCTGAAACTCCGATTGAAATTGCAATTGTTTGCCATTAAGATGTTCTGTGTTGTTTTGTGGTACAACCCACTCATTTTAGCAGATTCAAATTGGCATATTCATCTAGAAATGAAAAGAACATTACCCTTTTCACTGTGTCAGTTTATTAGTTTCTTATGTTGGCTTATCCTTGATGTCTTTAACTGACCAGCCACTAACTCTTTTGGGTGACTTTTGTTGTAACACATGGATTCTATGGCATGGAAGCTGTTTTATACTTTTCAATTCAAATATTGTTAGGCATTTTGCAAAAACAATTTTCTACTACTACACAACTTGATTTGATGTTACCCATAAATTCTCTGGGGTTATTGTATGTTGCTCTCCTTAAAGCAGTTGTTTATCCATCATTAGATAATTTGCTGAAAAATCTAACATTTCTTTATTTAGGGGTATGTTATCTACCGTGTGCGTGTGAGGCGTGGGGGGAGAAAGAGACCTGTGCCCAAGGGTATTGTGTATGGGAAACCCACAAATCAGGGTGTTACTCAGCTGAAGTTTCAGCGAAGCAAGCGCTCCGTTGCAGAGGAACGTGCTGGCAGGAAACTTGGTGGCCTCAGGGTTCTCAACTCTTACTGGATCAATGAGGTTCCTGCTCAGTCTTTTCTTCTTCAGTGTGCTATTTCTGATGTGATCCTATAGTAATATTTGCCCTCTGCAAGCAATTAACAGAAACATTTGAAATGCAGGACTCTACATACAAGTACTACGAGGTAATCTTGGTTGATGTTGCCCACAATGCAATCCGTAACGATCCTCGGATCAACTGGCTCGTCAACCCGGTCCACAAGCACAGAGAGCTCCGCGGACTGACCTCAGCTGGAAAGAAGAATAGGGGTCTCAATGGCAAGGGACACAGGTTTCACAAGGCACGACCCTCTAGAAGGGCCACCTGGAAGAGGAACCAGACTCTTTCCCTCCGCCGCTACCGCTAAGATTAATAAATACTGTCTTGCAGCTGCTCTTGCTCTGCTTGTCCTATGGGATTTTTTCACTTATTTGCAAGAACATCCTCTGTTGTGTCGCCCCTCTTGTTGAAACTTGAATTTGGCTTATCCTTCATCAAAGTTTTGGCGTTGTACTCTTTTCTTTTGAGATATTTTCTGTTTGTTTCCATTATGCTGCTACTAGTACTTGAAATGGATCTTCGTTATCATGAGCTAACTCCAGGTTTGACTTTGGTTGATTTATTCACGTCCTCCATAATTATTAAGGTCTCCTTGAAGTTATTCAGCTCCCAAAGTCAGGTAAAATTATTTTTTTGCTTATTAGTCATTCTTATTGCAATCATATTTGATTATTATAACTGCTATCAAATCAGACCATATCAGATCTCAAAAAATTTGATTTGATTTAATCTGGTGAACGGAATGCAAGCCTTTGTCTTCCATCAAACCCATCGTGCCCATCACCTTTGCTTTTCTTCTTCGCCACACCTTCTTTTCGTTTTCCAATCTCCTTTTGATTTTTTCTATCTTTGCCATTGTTGTCTGCAACTCTCTTCACCAGAACAGATATGTAGAGTTTTGAATGGATCTACCAAAACACCATGGTAGATGTAGAAGAGAGGGAGTGTGTGGTAGATGACCTCAAGATTGATGAAGTATGAAACCAATTCCATATTGTTGGATCAATCCATGTCTATGGGAACATGGTGGTTGATACCTTGGGCTCCGTTTGGGAGTCGTTTCTTACAGTGTATATCAATAGCTTTTTTGAAATATTAAAAAAGCTAAACTCTAGATCTGTTTGCCAATGATTTAACTATCTAATGTCAGTTTTTAAAATGGTTAGGGGAATCTCACATTTGACAGTATCCTGTCTCATACGCACACACTAACAATAAGTGTTCGTGAGAACTTTCTGTGAGACAATATGATGTCAAATGTAGAGCATCTCTAGTACTCCCTCCGTCCTAATTCTTTCTTCCCAGTTTGACTTTTCCTCATTTTTAATTTTTGGCTTTGACTTCAAATTTTTACCCTCCTTAAAAAAGATTTTTTGAAATTTTTTTTGTAATCAATCAAAATATAGAGTTAGAAGATAATTGGTGTAAATACATGAGGGTATTAATGTCATTTGTCATCTTTTTTTTTTCCTAATGGGAAGGTAGTTTTAGGACGGAGAAAAAGGAGAAGTGGGAAGAAAGTTTTAGGACGGAGGGAGTATGATTTTTTAACATTGGTGTTTCCAGAGTTAATTTGTATTATTAAAAAATTATTCAATGCACATATATTAATTGACATAATTGTTTCAAGCCTCTGTCGTCAATGTTAAGCATAGGTAGTGGTAAATCCAAGAAACAACATAGTTGGAGGCACAAATGCATCTAACTCAGAGTGTGGTGTGGTCTGTAGATAATGAAAGTTGATTAGCAACTCTACGGTTGCCTTAAACTTGTCAGGACAAAGAATGTTCTGTACAGCCTGCAACCAAGACAATGACAACTTATTATCCTAAATTCTTAATCATTTTTGACCAATAATATGCATATACTTGTAGATCACCAATGCAACCATCTATTTCTACGTGGGTAATTTTTTCTTGATTGGAATTTCACTCCAAAGGTAGATTCTTGGCTTAATTGGGACTTGGGGATGTTTGTTGTCTCCTCGTTGTAATCTTGACTGCAACCCCAGGGGAACTCTCCAAAAAAAGATCTTTTCATATTGAAAGTTTAAGTGAGATCACATTACAAATCAACAAAACAATTATTATAATTGAAAAGTTCCTTACCCTAATAGGAAGCAAGAAACCAGTGTAATACATTATTGATGAGCTCCCACTTGACATTGATTTGGCCTTAGCAGCTACGTCCTTCTTCGGTGACCCTAAGGACTCTATAAATGTCCATGTTCCCCATGAGAACTCTATTGCTCTCCACTGTCCAATCAAGCCGAGTATCCAATCTGGTTTAGGAGACTTATCGCGATTAGCAAGGCCTAACACAACAACAACAATAAATAAAAGTGTGGCCATTTTCACAGCCTCCATATATTGGCCTTCATTCTTTTCAATGTCCAAGTCTTTACGCATGTTGTGGAAATGTTGCACAATCATCTTGTATGTAACTGAGCATACTTCTTTCCCTTCTTTGGCGAAGGAAAGTGTGCTCAAAGAAAATCATTCTTGGCTGAGGTCAAATCATTTGACGATTTTGGCTCGCATTAAGCTGAGAGCAGTTCAGGCCGCTAATGAGGGAAAACTCCATCAATGAATACCTGACAAGAACTCCTTTAACAACAAACCACATCTCTCTTCTTGCCTCTTTATTTTGGCTTCTCTTGCAACGAGTTGCCATAAAAACAAAGGGGAGGAATATACTCCACATCCAAAAAGTGTGCAAAAGAGGTATTCTCCCTAAACAAAGTCAAGACTTCTAGATGATCATCGAGTCCATCACTCATCAAAGTTTGGAACTCTCCCAAAGAAGATTCTAAAGTTAACTTCATTCCAAGTAACTTCTCCATTTCAATGTTGCAATTTGAAATAAAAATACAAAATTATTTTAAAAGCTTATCGAAGGCCTATCGACCATATTCAATTACCGTAACATTATATTAAGGAGTTTCATGGTCGAATGACTTGTTGTGTTTCTGAATTAATCAATCTCAAGCAAATGTTGATTAAAATATTATATTTCGGTGTACATGTAATGTACCTCAACTTTGGAATTGGGGAAAGATTCACCTTCTAGAGATTGACTTACTCCATGGGAAATATGACACCATGTTCGAAAGAGCATAGTTCAAAATTAAATTCAAAATCCGTGGGAACTCAATTTGAAGTGAGGGATACTTGAAATTACTTGGTTTGCATTCTCAATCTCCTTCTTTTGTGTCTGGGTGAGAGTTCTTCTTCTCTTGTACAGGACCGTGTCATTTGCATCGATGTTCTCCATGGTAAACAAAAGTGTGGTAGTAATCGAAGGTATCCGACGACAAAATACAAGGGTTGACAACGGCGGAAACAACCAAGGAGAACGAAGAGTAGAACAGTTTCGAGAAGTGAAGGCGTATCATTTTTGAAGATTGGTCGGGGGTTAAGGATTGGCTGGGCCTTCAAACGACGTCGTATGGCCCCTTCAAAAATTATCATCTTTCTTCGAAGACAACTTAATGGTGGGTCGTTAATTTTAATATTTCTCGAGCCTTGCACGTGAAACTTTATTTTTTTAAAACTGGGTGGTGCTGAGTTTCGAACCCGTGACCACTTAGTCAACAAGGCTCTGATACCATGTCAAAGAACCAACTCAACCAAAAGCTCAAGCTTGTGGTTTCCGTAATATACAGTCAAAGTTTAAAAACTTTGACTGCAAAAATCAAAATGAGAAATTAATTTTGGGACGGAGGGAGTAACTCTTTAGATTTTTTGTTTTGGCACGGCTTCTTTATTTTCGTGCATGTGATGGGTAAATTGACTTTCAATTATGGACGGCTGCTTTATTTTCGTGCGTGTGATGGGTAAATTTTGAGATTTTCTTATTCAAAGTTTATAAATTTTAATTTTGATATTAGAAAAAATACATTCTATTATGATATAAATTTACTATCAATATATTTTATTAAAACGTAGTTTTGAAACGTTTCTTAAAATACTTCCTATTTATTTCTTTTGTTTTCCTCAAAAACATTTTAACTTTCTATTAAAAACTACTTTTACCCATACTTTTTTTTATCCTATCTATCACATCATATATTTTTTTTACTAATAATCTATCTATCACATCTTACTTTTACCCATCACATCAAAGATAAAATTGGAAAGTCAACAACAAATCTACACTCCTTATTTCTCCTAAAGGTAAAAATAGGGACCATTTTATGAAATGGAAGTAGTATCTATGCATAAATATAGATATTAATGATCAAAATATAACATTGGAGATCGTGAATGTCAAATGAGAAGAACAATTCTGGACAGAGGGAGTATTTTTTATTTTATCATTTAAATTCACAAAAATAAATGAATAACACAATTATAAAAAAATAGTTGAAAGTTCAGGTATCATACATGAAATTTACCCCATGTGGTAAACCCTTTATTTTTTTAGAAATCACCATATGTAACACTTTAAGACACCAAACATTACACATTTAGCACTCTTTATTATTTTTCACACATTTTGCTATTATAGCGTGAATCTCTTCCAATCATACCTTTTTTCTTATAGTGCAGTATTTTAATTATTTCATTTATCATGTTTCAAAAAAAAATTATTTCATTTATCATATTTATTGAGATCCATAATTTTAGGAGGTTATTTCCCATTTCTTGTACGTAGCATTTAAAAGCGGTGTGTCACTCCTCAGTGTTTAAACACATTTAATAAATGAAATTGGAAGTGTATACCAACTTTTTTTGGCAGTGTGAAATGATCATGTTTTACCTACACTTTCTAGCAGTGTATTATGCCCATGTTTTGAGCAGTGTGTTATGATTCACAATACTTGACTACACTTCCTGGCAGTGCATTATGTCCGTATTCTGAAAGTGTATACCAACTTAAACACATTTTTTGACAGTGTGGAATGATCATGCTTTTGCAGTTTGGATACATGTTATATTAAGTATGAAGGCAGTATATTATGCCCATGTTGTGGAAGTGTATACCAATTTACATATTTTTTTGTAGTGTGAAATGTAAGGATAAATTTAAAATTACATCCACACAAGTTCCAATATCTCATAACAATGTTATACTACCTCCGTCCCACTGTATTTGTCCACTTTTGACTTTTGGAACTGTTCATCTAAGCACTTTGACTCATCAAATTCTCTCAATGTGTAAGCCTAAAAATAGTCATGTGTAATCTTGTTTGATTCGTATTAACATATAGATTATTAATATATAATTTCTATAATTTTTTAATATACAAATGACAAGATAAAATGGATTAAAGAAGTGCATTGGATGGTGTGCCAAAATGTAAGTGGACAAAGACAGTGGGACAGAGGGAGTATTACGTATTTCAAACATATTTTAGTACTATGAGGGTACTTCTTCCTTTATTTTTACTTCCATACTAATTACTATTCTCGTTTTCAAATTCATGTATTTAAATAATGATATAAATTTTAAAATGACGACTTTCTTTTGAGGGGGACTGAAAGTGCCAGGCTAATCTCTAACATGTGTTACAGTACCAAAAAAGATCAATAATTATTTGTGCATATGATAATACGTAACTCTCAGATTTGGAGCATTCCAATTGGCTGAAGGAAATAATATATCTCCTCACCCACTACATTATTGATATTTTGTCCTCTTATTCTATAAATACGGAGTAATAGTTTAGGTGAATACTTTTCTTATTATATTCCTCCTGACCTAAACTAATTTTTCATTGTGGACGGTTAATTAATTGATTTCATTTTAAATTTAATTTATTTAATGTAAATATTAGTAAAAAAATTTAAAATAAAATTCATATGTTAAAAATTACGTTAAATTCTTTATGAATTAAGAAATGACGTGGATTCAAAAAAAAAAAGAAGAAATGACGTGATTATTATTTTAATAAATACGGAGCAATTAACAAAGAAATTAAGCAACCCTTAATAATGAATTGAGATGATAAATTCATGATGATGTGAGTAGATAAATTAAACCACCTAATATTTTGATAAAGACAAACAATTAGGTGTATTTGCCATACTTGTGAGTTATAACCATACCTCTTCCCATCCCAAAATATGTGTCATGTTTGACATAATATCTCTCCGATCCCAAAATAAATATGATGCTCTAGTTTTTACAGAATTTAATAAAAAAAATAATTTAATGTGAACAATTCTTTTATAAATGGAATGTAACATTTATTTTAATTTTGGAAATCCAAATAAAGAAAATATGACAATTTTTTAAGGATAGATGAAATACTTTTAAATAAAATTAAAATGACATCAAATACATATGATGCTCCATTAGGCTCGAAAATTAGTATAAGTATAGTATAAGAGAAGAGAGAAAAGTTTAAAGTGAAACAATTATTTTACTTACAAATATTAGTATAGAAATATAAATTACAAATTAAATGCAGAGTATTTTAAAACTATATAAAAAATTTTCTAGAACAAAATGTGACACAAATATTTTATTGTATCAAAGAATCATTGAAAATACAAATAAATAAAAGCTATATATCGAAATGCCAGAATAGTAGTTGAGTTTGGGACTGACGAGTATAAAAAATCAGTACTCCCTTTGTCCGGATATAATTTTCATATTTGACTTTTCTTATTCAAAGTTTGTAAACTTTGACCTCAATATACGGAAAAAAATATATTTTATATCAGTTTGAATATAATATCATAAGTTTCCTTTTGAAATGTATTTTGAAATATTAAATTTTTATAAAATATTTTTGTATACTAATATTGATATTAATGGTCAAAATGTTACATTAGATATCGTAAAAAAATTAATGAAAAATCAGACCTTGCCTTTAAGGAAGAGGGGGTGGGGGGGGGGGGGGGG